GACAGAGAGAGAGCAGAGAGAGACAGAGACACAGAGATATAAACAGCACACAGGAGAGAGGGAGAGGGAGAGGGAGAGGGAGAGCGAGAGCGAGAGCGAGAGAGAGAGAGAGAGAGAGAGAGAGAGAGAGAGAAGCACCCATGGTAAAACTCACAGCTAGAGGGTAGGGATGAGCCAGTCTTGAAATCTTCCCTTAAGTCCCACTTTTTCAAGGTCCTACTATTTCCTAACATTCCCATACTGAATACCAAGTTTCTAACACATGAACCTTGTGACATAAGCCACATCTAAACCACAGTAAGTCTCAACCACGCTTCCTATTTCATTTATAGACGTGGCAACAGCAATGCCTGCTGAACAGACTATGTGAGAACAGAATGCACCCGCGACAGCACCGTCTACGGCGTCCAGATAAACAAGTTTGCCTCACGTCCTCGTCATTGCCAGCAGGCGTCAACAGAGGTGGATCCAATGAGAGACTGGCTAGTGTTGGGGCAGGAAAGCGAGTCACTGAGGATTTGCTCTCAACAGAGGACAACTTCAGATCACTTCTCCGCACCGCACTCTTAGAGACCCGAAGCTTCAGTTTCTGCAGAGTCCACCATTCATGGGCCCGCCGCCACCTTTGCACTTCCCGCCAGGGCTAGCACAATCTTACCTGCGCCATCAGTTATAAATCTCCCCTTGTGTCAAACTGAAGTTAATTCCGTGTGCATCTTCATATGGTCTTTATGAACGGCTCACAGGCCTGCCTGACACACTGGGGACGAACTCACACACACACACTACTCATGCAGGAGTATTAAGCCAAGGACCACTGCCTGCTGTAGACAGGAGTTTTGTTTTGTTGTTTGTCCTCAGAAAGAGGTCTGCCTATGTCTCGTACGTACACAGAAATGATTGGGACGTTCCCCGGCAGAGCAGGAGTGCAGTTGTGACCAATAGCGGCAACCACAATCTATAATTCACTATCTAAGCACATTCAACACGGATTCCTAGAGCACTCCACAGTTCTCACACACGCATGGTCATTAGTGTGGTCCCGACCACAGATGGAGCAGCGAGCGTGGTGGACAATACGACCCTCTTCCATAAAGAGCCGGAGACAGCAGAGAATTCCCAGGAGAGCACAGCGGTAAATGATGCTCAGCATTTATACAATTTCCATCTTCACTGGGCCATGCTCAGGGGAAATCTTACCTTTTTTTTTTTCTAAAGAAAATCAGCAGAACTATCACACCATCTTTTTATTCAACTGTCCTTCTGCCTACCCATCCGTTAGCTGATCCATCCTCTTACCCATCCATCCTTGAGCCATCCGTCTATCCGTTCGTGCACCTGTCCCTATTACCTGCCCTTGCATACAAGTATCCACAGCCATTCACTTATCCACTCGTCCGACCATCCAACCATCTATCAGAGCGTGTGTGTGTGTGTGTCCCTGGGAACTTGCACACACATGGGCAGGGCTGAGAACTTCACTGATGGCAGGGAAGCACGAACTCTGCCACTGAGCTATATCACCAGGGGGGCATATCCAGTTTTTAATCTGCCCCCAATCCACACAATCCACCCATCAATTCATTCATCCATCCACCCGCCCACCTTCCTAATTCATCCATCCGCTCACTATCTGAATGCTTTCTCTACACCCAAAGTCCTAGGCCTTCCCACCAGACTTTATCCTCACAAACAGCGAGGTCTTCATTTGGGACAGAAATACGAGTGAAGCCTCTGCCAGTCTCCCCCACCTACCATGGGTTTCCCCTGACCACAGCAAAATAACGCAATATGCTCTATTTTTTTTTTGACAACTGAAATAGCAAACTTGGGAAGCTGACAACCAGAGGATAAGAAAAATAAGAAAAACAAAATCACCTTGTCCCTAAGAGCTCTTCCCTTCCTGAATCCGTCACAAGTACAGTGACTGCAATTGTGTAATTGGAGCACTTGAGACACAGAGGACACACACTCCCAGGCGCTCCACAAGAACAAGTTCAAATACTCAGAAGTCTATTCCCCAATACAGTTCGGCAGCTTTTTGGAGATGCTAATTCAAGTGCCTAGTTGTTTGGAGCTGAGATCCACTTATCCGCAGGATCGAGCTGTCTGGGAGTTCAGAGCTGAAGAGTCAATGGTTGTGGGTGCTTTAGGATCTCGAGTCCCTGTAAAGGGAAGGGCTTCAGTAGGTCAGCAAAATCTCCAAAACCGGAGCAGACAGAACCCAAATTAGTACACAAAAGAGAAGGAAAGAAACCCAAACAGGCCAAAGAAATTTTGGCATTTTCAATTTTGAAATTTTCAAGTGAAAATCAAACTTGAACAGTTCTTTCCTCCGAGGGCTCCTCGGACCTCACTCCAGCTCCCGCTGCTCCCGCGCTGCCATCTCCACGAGCCCCCCGCTTCCCTTGGAGACCCTGACTCATACTCAAACCCCGTTGTTCCAGAGCTGTATCTCTTTCCTGGCTGCCCCTCAAGTGACAGAGAATGTGTTCAATCATTACGTGTTTCAGAGGACTTCCTAAGTAGATACCATTTCCAAATGCCCCACATGCTAACTAGCAAGCAAAGCCACACACATTGACAAAAGGATGTGTCGAAGCCAGACGGGATGGCTTCTGCTCAACTGCAGTGCTTGGGAGATGGGGACAAGAGGACTTGCTTTGAGTTCAAGGCCAGTCTGGGTTACACAGCGATTTCCAGGCCAGCCTAGGTTACAGAGTGAGACTCTGTCTCCAAAAAAAAAAAAAAAAAAAAAAGAGAGAGAGAGAGAGCTAAGCCAGGTGTGGTGGCGTGGCGTACACCTTTAATCTCAGCACCTGTCTCAAAAAAACAAACAACAACAACAACAAAGTGAAGAGCCGCATCAGGGGAAGAGAAGCTGAACGTGCCGTTCTAAAGTGTGGTTATATGGGACGGAGACGTTCTAATGTTGTATAGCACCGAGGAGTAAATCTGCTCCCAAAAGCCCCCTGCTCCACGTTTATGAAGAACCAGAGGCACGCAACAGAAAGAAATGGCAAGAAAATGGAGATACTAAGTCGATTACCCTCAACGCATCATCGCATACTACAGGTGGCATGACTTATTACACGGCCCGCCCTTCAGGTGTAATTGCTGCTGTCAATCAAAAAGAAACACATTTTTACAAAGCCCAAAGTATCATGTAAACTAGGTCCTTCCTTCCTATCTCCAGTGGTTTCATCATGCATTTTCCAAGAGTCAGCCACGAATTTCCCTTGTCAAACATGAGGTTGTGTTAATCCTCCCTTCTAACCTCAGATCTATCACCACCACCCAGGGAGCTGTCCTATCCCTAGGCATCCACCCATCCACACCTCCTCATCTAGGAATGGTTGATTAGCCAGCCAGCTCCTCCACTGTCTCCTTGCCATGTCCCAGCCCCTGGAGCAGTGCTGCAAGCTGCCAAGGGCAGACCTTTGAGCATTTACTTGACGGTCCCTGTACCCCAAACCCCAGCTATCTCTATTGACTTCAGTCCTCTGTCTCTCTGCTCTTCTGAGCCAATGACTTCAGACAGGCCCTCCACATGCAGAACGCGTTCCCTTTTCCTTTTGTGTTAGAGCTGGTCAATACTCACGTCTCTGTTTCCAGCTGAAAAGCTCACAGCTCCTTGGGAGCCTCCCATTTCCGCCTCCAAACAGAACTCCATTACAATCTGCCTCCTTTCCAGTCCTGCACCCTGAATCTGGTGGGCACTGCCCACACGTTATTGGTTTTTCATTCTTGCCCTAACAAGGCCCAAATCTATACAACACTGGACACCGGGCCAGCACCCTTAGTGAGCCAAGTAGATTTAATGGAACAAGTTTTTTTTTTTTTTTTTTTTTTTTTCG